GACAAGATCAGCTAAACAATTCTCAGTAAATGCTGTTACCATTTTTCCAAATGTGTCTGACATTGTTCTCAGTATAAAAGTTGTTTTTCCAGAGATTTTAAAAAATGGCTGTAATAATACATTTCTGGCCAATGTCAAGGGTAATATGTAGCAGAGTAGCAGTAGCACATGCAATACATTACCTCTTTCAAGTAAATGTCTAACATTCCTTTTTCTGTAGCCCACTTAAAGTAAATGTAATTAGACATTTTCTGTCATTAGGAATGACTTCTGTTTGGGGTTTATTATTGTGAAATGCATTTTTTGTAAATTTCCTTCCCCCTTCCCCTTCCTCTCTAACCTGTGCTCCGGATTCCAGGCTTCCAATGTTTACAAGATCCTGACACAGTGCTTCTAAAAACATGAGCAGACAAGTACTACCTCTGGGGCCCTATTGCAAAAAATTTTATTCTTAAACAGAGAAACTGAATGTTTGGGTTCTTTCGGTTGTTTGCTTTGGCTTGTTGTGTTGGGTTTTTTCAAACATGCAGCAAGTGTTTTCTCTTTTTGTACAGGCTCAGCGAGTTGGACACCATTTCAGCAGAGATGTCTGATCTTTCCATCTGCATACCTGGAGATGCTTTATTCCCTGACTGGTCTTTTCAGTAACCATTAAAGATTTCTTGGGAAGGAACACTGGAACAGCTGAGTTAAACCCTGCTGGGATGTTCTTCAACAAACACAGACGTGCTGGAGTTTCTGGATGTGCCTAAGGACACAAAGGTAAGTGTCTTCCTTAAAAGCCTCAGGTTTCAGGACTGTTTCATTTAACCTTTAGCACCAGGGACTATGTTTCAATTTGTTGCTKAAACAGAGGCRCAGATGAATAAAGTGCTGATTAACMTGACACATATAGCAGAGATCATGCTTTTCAAGGCCGTGTAATAAATGTGCTTAGTGAGCYCGGGCCACTTAAAAACCTTCTGAATGACTTGCTGGCCAAGAGGAGAAAGCTCTACCCATGCACTGAGYTTGACTGCCATTAATCATTCTTGTGGTATTTCTTCTAAACTTATGCTTAGTGCATTTCAATCACTCTCACCTGATTTACATCTGTGAAAAAGGGAACAGGAGTATTCTTTTTATCTCTGTTCACAAAATGGTTCTTGTTTACAGTCAGTGGGGATCAGGGGTAGGTGTTTGTTCAAGTGTATGCTTGGTTGTTCTAGGTGGCATGTAGGCTTCAGGAGAATGGCAAAGACGTGCACAGAATGTCAGAAAAAAATAAATTTCTTTTTAGTAGCAGCTATTCACTTTCTGGAAACTGTGAGATTTTAATAAAATGTTTTTTCTACCATTTGATTCTGCTTAAAATATTATATAATCTACTCATTCTGACACTGCCTTGCCACATCAGGAAATCTACTTGACCAGAACAATTCCCTGACATAATTTTTCTATGRTAGGATCAAAAACATAGAAGAAATAATTTTGTAAACAGATATATGCTCAGAAAGGTGGTAGAATGTGTGTGGGCATATGTGCGCATCAARTCATGTCTCAGACACATAACTGACAAGGAAAGTAGCAAGATCATAAAGATACATCAGGATTTTCAGCACTAATCATAACATTATAAAAACCCACTATGTTTATAATGATGTAGATAATGCTACGAGCAGTAGAGRAGAAAAGTGAACAATCACGTAACCTTGATTTTATTCTATGATTGCCATCTGTTTTTCATCTTTTTGCAGAATATTCTTCAGGATTAATGCTCTATCTGGGTTTGGGGGAGGAGGGGGAAAAGTTCTTTTCAGTTTTATTTTATCAACTTCTTCTTATTTCATAGGGACATTTTAAAAAATGCAATTGGTTTTACAAACACTACTATTTCTTATTAAGCATCTCCAAAATCTGTTAAAATAATTTCAGAAAACCTATTGGCTAAAGTAGATGGAACTCAAACTTGCTGTAATTAGAATTATATGAATTGAGTTCTGCTTTGTCTTTTTTGTGACRGGATTCTAGTAATATCTGAATAATAGCTTTCTAATCAATCTTCTTTTGTCTGCTACTCTAGATAGCATTTTTSTTTGTATTCTAAACACCTACTCCCTGTATAAAGTAAACAGAAGACAAAAAGAATTGTTTGCCCATTGGCACAAAATGTCTACTGCAGGCAGAAGAAAAGGACAAAAACAAAACAGACAAAAAAACCCCAATACAGTTTTATTTTATTTAAGTACTATTGAAGTTACTGAGAATTTTTGTAATAGAGTTCAGTAGGCACAAGAACATGAATATAAAAATACAGACTCTATTTAAACGTAGAAAGCTAGAGGACTTATGAGGTTGTACAAACTCTTCTGTGCAGAGGAAAGTTGTTCAAGTTCTGTGGAGTGCCCTCAACGTGATACCTAAAAACCTTCCAAGAAAGTAAAATTAATATAGGGCATATGTTGTAGCTTTAGTGTGTGGGCTTTTTAAAATAATATCACATCTTTTTTTACCTGTGCCACTGCTCTCTGAACARCAAATTTCTTCCCAACACCTAAACCTTTCCTCTTTCAGGTTAAAGCCATTGCCCCTTGTCCTGTCACTCTCTGCCAATATAAAAAGTCCTTTTGCCTCCTTTTTATAAACCTTCTTAAGGCAATGGAAGGCTGCTATAAGGTCTCCCAGAAGATTTCTATTCTCTAGGCTGAACACACAAGTTCTCTTAGTCTGTCTTCACAGAAGAGGTGCTCCATCCCTCTAATCACCTTTGCGGCTCTCCTCTTGACCTGCTCCAACAGGTCTATATCTTTCTTGTGCTGAGGACTCCAGATATGGATGCAACACTCTGGTGAGACCTCCCAAAGGCAGAGTTGAGGAACAGAATCACCTCCCTCAGCCTGCTGGACATTTCTCTTTTGAAGCAGCCCAGGATGAATTTGGTCTTTTGTGCTGTGAGAGCACACTTATGGCTCATGTTCAGCTTTTCCTCCATGAGAATCCMCAAGTCCTTYTCCACAGGGCTGCTCTCAATGWGTTCRTCTCYCRGTACTCAAAMCTGGGATTGTCCCAGCTTARGTGCAACTTGTAYCTGGACTTGTTGAAYTTTGTGATGTTAAGGATCTTCCATATCTTTCACTATGTTTACAGTATTGCTACCACTCATACATTCATTAATGCCAGTATATAAATTTGGATGGAAAAATATGCAAAAAAAATTTGCTTTTTGCTTCATTTTTTTTTGGATTTTGTAGCTAATGCCACAAAAAATGTTGCAAGCATTATATGATAGACTGGAGAACAAACTGTCTTTGGCAGGTAATGGATATCTCCATTTAAACCGTTCAAATCAAAAAGAATAAGCTAAATTATCTGACTGGTGGCAAAACCAGTGGAGTTCCACCTGTCCAAATTTTCCACGGTTAATTTTTGTTACTGACTGAATTTTATCAAACGTGCAGCTAAATTTATACACAAGGCAAAAGCTTAGTTAGCAAAAGTAAGAAATTACCCTGATGTAAGTGAATAAATGATGGTTATACAAATTGAGTACCTTGATTATTAGGTCAGAAGAAACATTGTACATTTAATGAAGAAGAAAAAAAAAAAAAAAAAAAAAAAAAAAAA